GAAGGGCTCCCCCGGGCCGTTAATCAGTTAAAAGGAAACAGCAGCAACAACAGAAAGGCTCTGTAACAAATGGGAATTAACAGGCAGTTTTCCCAGCGGTAAACGGCAATGGGACGAGATCTGATGATGGCAAAAAGTTATCTGGAGTCACCAAAATGCAACTGAATGTAGAGAGCGCCAGGAAACCTAAGTTTAAAAAAAAAAAAAAAAAAAAAAAGTATGCACGCCAAAATCCGTGTGGAAGCGATGCCTATGGAGAAAACAGACGCGTTTCCCCCATCACAGCGGGCGCCGACACCAGCCCTGTTCCTCGGGCTGATCCGAGGCTCCTGGAATCATCCCGGGTGATTTTGCAGAGGGCCCTACGCTGCCCCCACCCAACCCGACTCAGTGGGACGGTGCTTTAGCCAACACGTGCCTTCCAGCTTCAAAACTTTCTGTCGATAGAGAACCCACTATAAACCTCACTAAGCTTTTTTCATGGTTAATGCCTTTGTGATAAATGTGAAAAAGCGCCTATTTCCAGTTCGAACTGCTCCAGCGTTGACGAGCGGCCTTTCTTAGAGCACCGTCCTCTAGGCCAGAGCCCGCTGATGGAGTTTCTATTCCACGTGCAAGCACCCCCATGCTACGATTTTGTAGTTTTCCCTTCGATAAGCTAGATTGGGCTCAAGCGTCTCACCATAAATAATGGTTTCCAAGCTTTTAATCATTTACACGGCATTTCTCTGGATTTTTAAAAGCCAAAGGCACAGTCATACCATTCCTCCACTGCAGCGAGAGTGCCAAACACGGACGAGCCTTCCTGCTAACGCCCGAGAGGAACGCGCCGGACCCTCGCCCGGCGGTGCCGCGTTCTGCCCCTTCCCTGGGGCGATGCTGCAGCCCCACGTCCAGCGTTCCCGCTTGGTTTGGTTTCCCATACACAACCCTGCATCGCTCTCACCAGCGACCCAGACCGCTCCGCGGCAGCGGCTCCCCCTCCGTTGCCAAGCTCGCCGGTTTTCCAGAGTGCATCTGTCTCCTTTCCGGGTCGCTGCTACGTCTTAAACAAGCACGGATTGCTCTTTGGGGTGAATTTGAAATACGTTCACCGCCTGACTGTTGCCCTTCCATCGTTTTAATCTTTCCGTTTTCAAATTGCACTTGTGGATTTTTGTATTGGTTTTGTTAAATCAGGCAATAGACTTTGCAGTATGAAGGCAAATGCCTTGCAGAAGCCTAAGCAGCACATGAGTGTATTTTCAACTAATCTGGAATATAAAAATATCATGTCGGACTGATAAGATCTATTTTCCATAAGCTTACATTGACTGACCCATTGCTGACTTTAAGACCTATGTTAATGTATGACTTTGTGACCTCTCACCTTTCTCCTTTAAGATGTAGCTAAATAGAGTCTCCCAGGTCTTTCCCACTGGCTTTTCCTCAGCTCAGACTTACGCTGTTCTGCTAGACCCTTGTTAGGACAGAATAAACAGAAACGAGACCACCAAAGCGGCCAGGGCAGAATGAGGGACAAACGTAGCTTGCAATAGGACAGCCACGTTGGCAACGGTGAACTCCAGGTTTCCCTGGCCAAATAATTCACCATAAGAGACAAAACAATCGATGGCAGTGAAAAAAGTCCTGTAGGAAGACAGACCTCTACGGGGACTTCTGTTCCAGTGACTCCGCGGTTCCTTGGCCTTTGTTTTGGAAAGAAAGAGTATAATTCCTCATCCAAGAAGTTCTACACAGCCTTCTGGGGAACACAGTAGTTTCACGGAAGAGAGAGGAAAAAGCCCAACCCATGGGAGGTTTTCGCAAACGGGACCCCAGTATATCGCTTCCCTTTTTGCTGCAATTCAAAAAGACGATCAGCTGTGCTGTAACATTTGAATTAGGAACCAGTGTCAGAGCAGCGCCGTACAGCACTGCAGAAGGACATCGGACACCAGAATGCGAGTGCCCTTTATTTAGCAGATCCCAAAGCCACAGACCAACGTGCTGGAAGAGCTGGAAAGATTCATGCCGCAACGCATGAAGCGTACCTGACGTTGTCCCTGCGCTGCTGGAGGCCAACTACACGACACACAAAAACAGAAGAAGAAAGAAATATCCTCTTCTGTTCCAAGACAAAAACAGCATTATGCACAAATCCCAAATAGATTTCTTTTCCCTTTTCATTTAGGGAGAGGAGACTGGATGTATTTGGATTCCCCCCCCCCATCTGGTGTGAATTCACAGTAAGTAAGAATGAGTTTTGTTTCCAATACGTGTCAAATCAAGACCTCATGGAGAAAGAAAAATCGGCATTTTAAGAAGCCACATCAGTCCCCATTTCTGGCATTGCCACACGCAGCACAAAAGCACCCAAACAAACCAGGATTCACAGTATAAATTGTTTCACAGAATCTTCATTTTAAAGGGACAAATACAAATATTACAAAATGAACAGAATCACTTTTAAAATACTTATATTTGTTTAACCGTTAAAAACAGACACGTACAGAAAGAGGTAGCAAAGCTAACAATTTCCTGCTGCTCCAATTAGTGTTGCCTGCATGCACTGGGAAAGTTACCGCGGAACCAAATCTCCGGACATCTTTTCTGGAAAGGACTGTAGACAACTTGCAGTTTATTTCTGACAATGCTACGTGAAGGACTGAGGCAAACCCACAGGCTCACTAGCAGCTGTTTCACGTTGTCTGGCTTAACGAAAAGGCATTGGGGAAAAAAAAAAAAAAAGGTCGTCTGGGGTTTACTTCAGAGAGCAAGAGAGAGCACAAGAGTGAGTTCACAAGCACGCACACACGAGGGAGACCACACACAAACGTAAGAGAACACCGGGAAGTTGCACTCGCCCCGCCACCGCAAGAGGAAAGTACGACAGGTCCGTGGGTCCCAGAGTTGGGATAGACTGCGTTTGCTATTAGCTTGGTCCCATGGATATCCACACCACCTGACAGACTCAGAGCTAAAAGCAAGGCAGAAAAAGTAAAGGGAAGCAGAACTCCACGTGTTGCATGCACGCACTCTCCCTCACACCCTCTCTTTCAGGCTTTCTGAGGTCCCAGCAAGGTCAGTTCAAGAGGTTCTCCCATCCAACACGTAATAGCGATACATTAAACCTACGACCAGCGCTCCGAAGATGGGGATTAGCCATGTTGACCAGAAACTACGGGGAGAAAAAACAAAACAAATACACACAACATAAACCAGAAGCAAGTATCAAGTTAATAATTCATTCAAGATGTTAATCGCTTATTACACGTCTGTTGCCATCTAGGGAACTCTCTGTCTCCCACCAGCGCGCAGAGCAGCCGCACGGGCCTTGGCAGCTCCAGCAGCCCCCGTGCTCCGGGCTCTGCCCAGCCCCTGTCAGAGGCCCCTACGCCTGCAAGGGTGGCTTGGTGGCTTATAAAATAGCAGCTGAATTGCTGAAGTTTCCAGCCTGGCACATACAGAAACCAATTTGGGGTTTTTGTTGTTGGTTTTGGTTTGTTTTTTTTTTTTCCTTAAATAAGTCAGACTGTAATTTGTGCTATACAAACAGCTGAGTTGACTCAAGGATGGAAATTGCTACAGCTATCCCACAATAAATCTTCCTCACTCACAAACCAGAGGCCGCAGGCTCACCTTCAGCAGCCTCCTTAGCAAAAAAGTCCTGCATCAGCTACGAAAGATGAGGACCTTCTTCTGGTCGTAAGCACTCCTGGATTTTCAACTAAAATGGGGCTGGTCAAAGTAAAGATCCTCCAAAAAAAAAAAAATGCACATCACCCCATGGCCTGCAGTGACCACCCAAATAATCGCTGTAGTGCAAAGGGACCGCAGCCGCAGTTGTGTCATGTGAACACGTGGGCCAGAGGGTTCAAGCTGCGGGACACCAGGATGCCCGTGCAGCCCAGCGTGGAGCAGGGGACTTCGCACCGCGGGCTGGGTCTCCACACCCAACAAGGGAGGTGCACGCCCTGGCAGCTGCAGTTTGGCAACTTATTTTGGACTAGCTGCTTGCTGGAAGGACAGCCCAGTGATATCCCCGTTTTGTTTTTTTTTTTTCCCCTGACCATTAGAGTTAATATGCAGTTCTACAAAGGGAGAGTCCTGACCCCTCAACTTCTTACTCTTGTTTTAAGAGGATACTATACCTTGCTCGGCCTGAGGATGTCATACTTGGATCCTGAAGGAAGAAAGAGGGAGTTAGGGGAAAAAAGAAACATTAAACACGTGCTAATAACACTACAAGACTGAACATGTGATTACAAATACGGAGGAAAAATAACCCTCCCCTCCTCTCGCAAACACCCTGTCACGAGCGCGGATGTTTCCGGGGATGTTTGCCCTCGTCCTCACTTCCACGTTCCTTCCATCAATCCAATCCCTCCCACCCAGTCCTCAACTTGACACTGGAACCTGCACCCCTCTCAAAAAAATTACCCCGCAAACCAGCCTGTTCATCTCGCATGCTATGGGCAGCAGCTGGCACTGATACGGGCGGCCCTTTCGCTGCGATCCCCCCGCCACACCCCTGCCCGCGTCCCGTTCGCTATCCCGCTGCCTGACCGCTGAAGCACACAGCCACGACGTTCCCTTCAACTCTTCCCTTGCACGCAACCTGTTTCCAAACTTCTGTGCTTCTCCTTTCATGAAACTCTGAGAATTTAAATACTTTTTCCAGTCAGCTGAAATTCTCATCCAGGCTTTCATCAACTCTGCAGCCTCCTCCTCCTCGACGGCTGTTGCTGCTCTCCAGTTCAATCAATACCTACCAGCCAAAAGTCACCTTTCCTGCCCATCCTCAACACAATTATCTCCATTTCTTGAGAGCCTTAGTGCTTCCTTTTCTGCCGTAATACGTTCAGCGGACGCTAAACATTGACACTTATCTGTGGGGAGCTACCTGTGAGCCGCACCACAAGAGTATACACGTACAACTTTTTTGTGTGTGTGTTTCCCCCCAAGTTTATTTTTACGTTGCTGACTTCTATCTCTTGCTGCTATTTTTAAATTATACTCAGGCCTGCTTTTAAAACAGATGTTGTACACTGGAGAAAGACCTTAGCTGTACATAACTCACTGGACTTTCTCCTCAGAAGAGAAAAATATTTGAAAAAAATATTTAACTCAGATCCAAGGGAGCTACTCAGATTACTCCTTATTTCTATGCACATTTGAGGCATGTGATTCTGTTTATGAAACAGAGTTGAACCAAACAATGAATTTTAAGGCGAATATACGCATAACTATGCAGTCCCGTGCTATAACTAAGCGTAGGCTTTAGCCAGCCCAAGTTAGTCTTTCTGTGGCTGACTACAGCAAGCAAACACTCCAAAGAGCTTCAGTTGCCACCCTCTCTGTTGACAGTTTCCTTCTTGATTCCTGCTCCTCTGCAAGCAGCCCTGCTTCGAACAACAGCTAATGGAAGCGTTGTTGAAGGCAGAGCTGTGCCTGGTCCAAGCCTTCGAGCCAAGCGAGAAGAGAAGCCAGCTGCAAGGCACATGTTTACCTCTCAGATGGGATTCTATTTGTTACCGTTTCCCTCTCCCCATCCATCTCAAAGGCATTTTTGCAACACTGTGCCCCATTCTAATCCAGGAGTACCTGAGCTTTAAGCAACACCAATGATTACTAGGGCAGTTAACAGAGAATTCTTGTTTTACAGCCAACCCCACGGTGGCTGTGCCTGTCTCCTGGCTCGAATGTAACAACACTAACAGTTCAGTGGTCAGGACATAGCGGGTAATGCAAAAAAAGGGTCTGTGGCTCAAGGTGTGCAAATAACATTGCTGATGTCAGGGGAGAGAGAGCACAAAAAAACACTTCCAATTTCACACTGAGGTGACTGCTGAGCTTCAGAACAAAAACAAAGGTATAATTTGCTTGGAAGATTTATTCATTACTGTAGTTTGTGTAAACATAAAGCCACAAGCTCCACAGGAAAAAAAAAAAAAAAAAAAAAAAAAAAAAAAAAAAAAGAAAAAAAAAGGTGTGTGACAACTTCTTTGTTCATTTTCTGAGCATAATATTGTTTCCACAGCATTAAATTAAAACGGAAAAGTAAAACACTAACAGCTTACCTTAGAACCTTCTTTTTTACGATCATGCTGTCAAGGGGAAAAAAAAAAGAAGAAGAAAGATAAGCACTGACTTCAAAAGAAACCTGCAGTCTTTACGAGGGAATTGTTCTGTACAGTCCTCATCATAAGGGTAATTGCCTGGACTCGGTTTTCAAAGGAGTCATTCCTTCAGCACCCAAAGGCATCGTCTTTGTAGCAGGCAGGAAGCTGGTGTTTGTGCCATGCCCCTGTGATCTCTCACCCTCCTGAACTCTAAATTACGAGGCAAGGGGAAGTTATGGTATCACCAGCTAAGGAGGGAACCGATTAGATGAGCTTCTTTAAGTGCCACTGATTTAATTGCAATGAGAAATCTGCTCTGAATGGTGGGAAGAGAAGACTAATTTAGTTTTGTTTCTTCAAGAGAGATCCTCTTTCCTCAAACGAAATCCTGGACAACACAGAGACTGCCTAAAACCCTTAAGTACTTACTTATTTCTCAAGGCGCATGTTGTTTAGTGGGTTACGCAAAGGAGAGTCACACTTTTACACAGTCCCATCCTGTGTTTGAAAGAGGCTGTCACAGCCAGCTGGTCCTTACCGGGTGGATCTCCCCTATGTAGTACTGCTTGAGCATCTCCCTGGCATCTGTGGAATGCCCAACATCTTCAAAGCTCTCTGTGGCATCTCTACCAGCTTGTTCGAGCAAAACCTCTTCTCCACCTGGATGCTGGAAGAGAAGACTTCAGGTGAGCAAAGGGCTAGATGCAAAAAAAAGTACCAAGAGTGTCAGCAGCCTTCCTTCCAGCCTCTTCCATTCAACACAGATGCCTCAAACCAACATCATCAATAAAATCTTCCAAAGATTCAATTGTCCAACCTCTCCTTCAGGAATTCACAGAGAACAACGTGTACTGCACAGCCTGGAAAATACCTTGCATAATAAAAATCCTTCCAAAGAAACAAATCTGCAGCACACACGGGGAAGCACAGCTTTGTCCCCCACAGCCAAGCTATCCCTTCTGTGATTCTGTAACAGATTTGGGCAAGAAAATGATACAAAAGAAAGGATATCCTCATGTAGCTTTTCAGGGGCTTCACTGCATAAATCAGACTCCCTTGCTTGCAGAGGAGCCTCTCCTGCATGATTTTCTCAAGAACTTTCCTGAGGCATCTCAACCGCTAGTGAAGCACAAGACAACACTGCCTTTACAGACACCAGTGGAGGAAAGGATATTCTACTTCTTCAGATACTACAAAAAATAATAGTATTTGGCTGCCAGCCTCTCTCTGCACATAGCTGTGCAATGAGGAATGGAGAACAGAGGAGAAATGCATTGTTTTCTAGTGGCATAAAAAGCTACAGCTCTAGTGTAGCCCCAACAATACTGAACTTGATCCAGTGTACAACCACTCAACGACCAGGGGAGAGGGGGAAAAAGAAAAAAAAAAAAGTGTCACAAAAAATTATACTGTTTGACATCATATACTGATTTCAGAGATTCAGAAGTTGCAACAACAAAAGTACCAAATCCACAGGAAGCTCCACGACACTGGCCTTTCCGTTGCTGGCAGACGGTCACAGACAACCGTCAGACCAAGCGGTACGAACTGAGAAAAAAAACCTGGTGCGATTCTGTTTTCCTGGATGGGTTGGGCTCTTCTCTAGCACTGTCAATACCATAACTCCAGGAACAGATTGGCAATGGAAAGCGCTAACCACAAAGCCAGCAAAGTACAATCTCTTGACAGTGTGAGCGTGAACAAATAGTTCAGTTCAAACTATCAGCTAATCCAGTTAAACCGATAAAGTGGTCAGGCTTCTGAGCGCACACACAGGGACTAACCCAGTTTTCTAGAGCATCAGGCAGCAAGCGCTGAATGCGCTAGTTGAGAAGATGAGACTTGATCGCTGCTGCCTGAAACGCCTCTAACAGCTACAAGCCTGGAACTGGAGATGTTAGACTACGTTTCAGATCAAAGGACTCGCACACCTGCTTTTCTCTGTAATATCCTTTTCCTTCCCACAGACACAGAACAGTTATCATTGCCCCTCTTCCTTCAGCTTGTCTGGTTTTGCTGTCAAAAGTCTAAATATTCCCACTTGGCTATCACACCTCATACCAAACATACTCAGTATGGACACAAAACCAGCCTGGTTGTTTACTCCAGTCGAGTTGCTGCAGCCCATTCTGCAACCCTTGTATCAGAGCTCTTTATTCTGAATAAATCCCTTTATTGTCCAGGTATGTAACGAAATCTACGTGGAGCTTTCTCAGCAGCCATGAAGGGCAAAGTCTGCAGTCCTAGGACACAGTTTGGTTAGCAGTCAGTTATTACATTGCCTTAGCTGTAAAACCATGCGAGGCTCCACTCTGCCCATTCCCTCCGTGCCTGGCTACAGGTCTCGCTGCCATTTCTCCCACACTAACCCTGGTGCTCACTTGATCTCTGAGGGAGTCAGATCAGGGACTACCCTAGCAGAAAACCCACCCTACAAAAAAAGAAAAGGAAGCAATTATCCGCTGGGGTAGCTGTGAATGAGCTCCGTACAGAGCTGGATGCGCATCTCTGTTCACGCAAGGGAGTTAACGGGAACGCAGGCTGCAGCAAGACCACCCTGAGATCATTTCTGCGCCCCTTAGATCACGCTCTCGGACCTGGCTGCAGTGGTAGAATGCCGTATATTGTCTATGCATATTACTCGGAACAACTGTCCTATTTTCAGCTATTTTATAAGCATGCTTGCAAAGAGCCACAGAAATTAGGGGATGAAAAGCTGGCCATTTACTTTAAGCCTTCTAGAAGAACTCCTTAGGGATGTCTCACCCAAACTCTCATTTCAGATGGAAAAATGTCAGAACTGAATTTTAAGAAGATAACCTTGCTTTCCTAATATCCACCCTAAAAGGGCAGACAAAAACCTGCAGTAACGGGGAACATGTGGTGGATATTGGCTTTCGGTGGCATCCAGTCTTTGCATGTACAAGAGACAAGAATAATGGTACAGTACAAGAGACAAGAAGAACAGTAAAGTTTACTCCTCTTCACATCTTTGGGTCTGAAGCCTTTCTACGCACTTGCTAAATCCACAAGTAAGAAAAAGAATTATTTATTCATGCACATCTGTCCTTCACTGTAATCACCAAGCCAAAAGAAAAAACTTCAAAACATTTTGGCATACCATATTTCTGAAAGGACTCCTTAGTCTAGACAACCACAACTGCAGCCAGACAATTCCTACCTTGTCATACCCGAGCGAATGTAAAACCAGACTATTTATACAGGAAGTCATTTACTCTGCCACAAAAGTTCTCAAAGCTACAGCTCCTGCAGGAAAACATAAGAACTGAAAGTGTTGCAAACTGTGGGGAAAAAAAAATGCACTTCCAGAGGAAACAGTGGCTGAAAAATGTCTTGTTTCTGAAAAGAAACAGACAAAAGCAAACAAGAACAAGAGAGGTGGGCCCAAGTGCCTGTCCTCAGTTTTCCTCAACAACAGCAATAGAACTGGAACCTCCTTGTCACTGGAGCCTCCGGCATACACAATAAATAAAGTACACATTGACAGCAACGTTAATAGTCTTGAAGCACCAGTTCTGGAAGGAACGCCACTGAGCAGAGAAAACAGTTTTACAGGGAGAAGCCCGTCATTTGGCAGTGGAAGCACGCCAGCCGTCACCAGCGTAAGGCACCCTCCAGAGTCCCCGGCCCAGGCGGGGCAAAGGGAGGCCAGCCCGCTCTTACCAGTCAGGAGATTGAGCGGGGAGAAAACCCAAGACTTCCTCGTGCTCTGCAAGACTCACAGCTACAGCAGGCGCTCTCAAAAGCATCACTTCAGCGTGATCTTTGAATCAAGTTCTCCAAATTCCAAGCTGGGTCCGGAGAAGAACAGCAGAAGTAGGGAGTTGTACAACCCCATATTCAGTCCAAGCTCACTTTCAATGTCACTGACACTCTAAGGTGGCGAGCAAAGAAAGTTTGCCCTTGATGACTCACTCCCTAATTAGCAGCTCATCTTCTCTGTTCAGCCAGCAAAGTTGTACTTATTCATGAGACCTCAGAAGACGCTCTATCCGCGTAGCCTTTAGAAGAGATATGGAGCGAGCAAAAAGCAGCAGCAAGCCAGAAAGCCTTTAGAAGAGATATGGAGCGAGCAAAAAGCAGCAGCAAGCCAGAACTGTAGGCACACAGCGAAGGCTTCCGAGAGCGCAATGCAGAAACTCACTGCAGAAGGCGAGAGCCTAGAGCCATCTTTTCACAAACTCCAAGTGCCTGTCTGCATACGTCTGGCTGGCAACTGCTGTTACAGACCCACTGGAAACTACAAATGAGCTCAGAAGCAATACTAAGGTCTACAGCTAATTAGGTTACTGGATCAGGTAAGATGCAAGATCATCAGGTTGAGGAGGGATGCAAAAGCTTTCATTCCTAGCCCCCAGTATCAGAAATAAACCAGGAAAGGGAAGAGTAGTACTGTGCAGTAATAACGTGCCAGTACCATACGAGCCAGAAAACAAGGACAAGCAGCCACCAAGACAAACGGTGTTCATCAGGCACACATCCTTCAAATCTTGTTTTAAGACACGGAACAGGTTTCCCCGAAAACATCCTTGCAAAGCTGGAGCAAGTCAGCATGAGCAAAACCAGATCTCTGACATTCCTCCTTCTCCTTCACAGAGTTCTGGTTTCAGATACACCAGAGTACGCAGGAATTAAGTGAAGACAGACAAAGGAGGGTATTCAATACTGGTTTCTTACTGCTGGTGCAGTAAGGAGGTAAGAATCTAAAAACCTGCTGCCTCTTTGGTGTAAGCAACCATCTGATACTTCCCTCCTCTTTACTTTCATCTCAATGATAATGCTCTTAACTACCAGCTCTTCCTTACTTCCTTACTGTTTCCCTTCCTTCCAGACTCTACCTTAGCTATATACTGGCCTGGAAAGAGCATAACTTCTGTTAGAACCATGTGATTTTAAAGAGAAGCTGTCACTAGTAGAATACTTCCTTCTTTTGAAACATAGTTTGAAGAACATTATACTTGAAACCAACTGACCAATTTGGGTCAGAGTTGTCACAACCCAGGCTCATTCCACTTGGGAACGGGTTCAAACAGATTTCTGGTCACACTTATCACGGGTATCAGAAGCAGCGGTGCATGCCAAGACACAAAGCTGCGGTGGCTGCTGCATCTTGCGGACTCAGATAACAGACAGAAGGGTGTACTGAAGAAACACGTAACACCAAACTCTTCTAGTCAGGCAGAAAAATGGAGATAAACCATGTCCCTCTGTCATAAGAATGCTTGTGAAAAGAAGTCTGTTACAGATTGCGCACAACTTAAAAACCACAGATTTTAATACCAGTGTGGTGAGGGCATAAGCGTGGGCAGCACCAGACCTCCGAGAGCCTGTCAGGGAGGTACGCCTGCCTTCCTCCGCTTCCTCACTCATCGTTCACACCCACCTCAGCAGCCAGCCCTTTTTGCTCTAGCCATTACGCTCACTTTTCTAGACTACTGCAATCAGGAGTAATAACGTGTATTCTGGTGGTCCAGAGACCTAGATTTGGAAGAAAATTACACGATCGCCATAAGGCTATCTCAGATTTCAAATAATCACACTTCATTTCAGGCACTTACAGGCTTTCTGAAGCACAAGAGATGGCTGACAGTCTCTCAGAAACATCTACGAAATTCCAGTGGCCGTCTTTGCACATCTCCTGCATTT